CATTTTTCCTCTGGTGCTCCAGAACAGAAGCTGTTCATTTGTTCTCTTTGTACATTCTCAATCCTATATCCCTAAGCCTAGAGGGCCACAGCTCAGCCTGTGTCCCTCTCCCAAAATTCCAGTTTTGTATTTACTTGTTGAAATTTTAATTTTTTTTTTGAGATAGAGTCTCACTCTGTTGCCCAGGCTAGAGAGCCATGGCATCAGCCTAGCTTACAGCAACCTCAAACTCCTAGGCTCAAGCAATCCTTCTGCCTCAGCCTCCTGAGCAGCTGGGACTACAGGTGCGTAAAACCATGCCTAGCTAATTTTGTTTTCTATATTTAGTTGTTCAGCTAATTTTTTCTATTTTTGGTAGAGATGCAGTCTCATGCTTGGCAAGGCTGTTCTTCATCTCCTGAGTGCAATGGATCCTCTTGCCTTTGACTGCCAGAGTGCTAAGATCACAGGCATGAGCTACTGTGCCCGGCCTTTAAAAATATATTTAATGAGAATAAAAAGAATAAACCATGGCTTTGGTTTTTGTGTTCTTCTAAGGTACAAGGCCCAGCATAGGGGCCCCTCTTGTAATACTGAGTGCCTAGCACAATAAATGGGAAAAAAATCCGACATCAATTTATATCTAATGAAATTTTAAGGATTAAAAAGAAGATTCTGAATACTCTAGTGAGAATAAAAAGTTATATACAAAGAATTAAGAATGAGAATGAAAGGCTGGGCATGATGACTAATGCCTGTAAACTAAGCACTCTGGGAGGCAGAGGCAGGAGGAGCGTTTGAGATCAGGAGTTTGAGACTAGCTTGAGTAAGAGTGAGACCCCATCTCTATTAAAAAAAATAGAAAGAAATTAGCTGGAGAACTAAAAATATATGGAGAAAAATTAGCCAGGCATGGTGGCACATGGCTGTAGTGCCAGCTACTCGGGAGGCTGAGGCAGGAGGATTGCTTGAGCCCAGGAGTTTGAGGTTGCTGTGAGCTAGGTGATGCCATGGAACTCTAGCCCAGGCAACACAGTGAGACTCTGTCTTAAAAAAAAAAAAGAAATAAAATAAAATAGAATTTGAATGACAGAGGAATATTGAAAATCCAAAGACAGTGGAACAATGTCTTAAAGATTCTGAATAAAATTGTATCCACCCTTGAGTCCTATATTCAATCAGATTATCAATTGAATATGAGGCTAGCTAGACTAAATACATTCTCAGGCCTGAAAAATCTTGAAATATTTTGACTTACACACTTATTTCCAAGAAGCTATGGTAAGATGTGTTTCACCAAAGAATACTAAGAAAGAAGGTGGCATTAAGTCAGGACATGCACCATCCTATTGAACAGCAGGAAAGGGAATTTCCAGTAGAGAGGTTGATCATCTGACATGTGTGAGAGTGATGAAAATTGTACTCAGAGGGATTTCACAGGTCTGCTGGAAGTTTCAGAAAGACTTGGATATTTATAGAAGACCAAACAAGGGAAGTTAACGAGGTAATTATTAACTCTATGAAAAACAAAAATGTTTTGCAAGGAAGAAATGTGAGTCGAATTAACAGATGAATTTAGGTGCAGGGTAAGGTTAATGTTGGTGACTGTAGGATACAACTGTAATCAAATGGCAAAAATCACTTTCCCATTCTAATGAGAAAATCACTACCTATGTGTTTCAGTACTTAGAGCTGGACACCTCACTTCCCAGCAGGATTTATTGGGAGGGAGCAGACCCATGCCTATCATTCACTTCACACCTGTGTTGATGCTAGAAACAATTTGGGAGGAGGAAGGTTGTTAAAGAGGTCAGGTGGACAGTGAAGGATTGGAGTTGGGAGGCATTTCTTTCTCTGCCTCTCTGGGTATTTTACCTTCATGACAACTAACAAGGGAGACTCTTAGAGAATCACTTGAAAGCCTGGCCTCTCCATAGGGCAACTTGATGTGGCAGTTGGCATTTTGCAAAGCAAGGAGAGAGAGAGAGAGAGAGAGAGAGAGACAGAGAGAGAGAGAGACAGAGAGAGAGACAGAGACAGAGACAGAGAGAGAGAGGAGAAATCGAAGAATAAAAGAGGAAGCCACAGTTTCCTTTATAACTTAATCTCAGAGGTGACAAACCACCATTTCTGCCGTATTCTATTAGTCACACAGAACCATCTTGATAGAATGTGGTAGGGACTACACGAGGGTGTGCATACCAGGACGTAGGACTCTTGGGTGCTGGCTAACTCACATTGACAAGTATTGTGATACAAAAATAAAGCAGGCCAAGGAGATTGAGGGGTTTGTGTATTTAAAGAAAGCTTCAAGGTGACATTTGAGCAGATTTGAATAAGGAGCCAAAGCATTCTTGTTGAAGGTAGGAACAATCTTGGTGTATTGGAGGAGCATGGAAACAGCCAGTGTGGCTAGAGCTGAGTTAATTAGGTATAGAAAGGCCAATAAGTTCGGATAGAGGTACAGCCCAATTATGTAGAGTTTTGGCCACAATGACTATAGAGACAGTCTTTTCAAGGACTTGTGAAATGAAGATGACAGACAAATAGTATCTTAGACAGAGAGGCATTAAGGGTGTAGAGAGAGCTTTGTAAAACTGGGAGATACTCCAGAAGATTTGTGGTGATTGTTTCAATCTTATAAAAAAGCACAAATTGAAGATGTAGGGGAGAAAAAGAACATAGTTCAGGAAGCAAAATCCTTGATTGGGCGATGTGGTGTGGGTTTCAGTGTGAAGGTAAAGGACAGGAGCAAGGAAGCTTCACCTCTGCTGGCAGAAGAAAAGCCAGGGAACAGGCTGGCTGTATGTGGGTTGGCCCCCTCCGTGTGGTTATAGTGAGATTAATCTTTTCTGGTGTCTTTGAACTTCTCAGTGAAATTTCTGAGGACATTGGTGCGTGTGTGTGCGGTGGAAATCTACTAATATTGACCATCCTTTCCATCCTCTTTGACGTAGTATATTAATATCTTTTATCAGAGTGTTGACTTGTTTATATACTTGTTTATATACTAAAAATGAATATTTTTAGGATGGAATATCTGGGAGGTTTATGTATTTCTTTTAATGAACCTCACAGAATAAATTCAGAAACTTGCCAATCTTTCCTATATTTTAGACAAATTTAAATAGTATATGAATTATGTTTTCTTTAATCATATATAAAATTAGATATTAAAATTTGCTCTATTCATTGATGTTGGAAGTGATAATGAGATGTGTTTGAAGACGGTTTCCTGTCAACTTCTTCCATTTCTTTCAAGGTTATTTTCTTTTCAACTTGTCCTAACCTTCCTCAGTCAAATTTAGTTGTTTACATTATCTTACAATAACATCAATTTCATTGAATTTTTTACATCGGGATAGAATTTTACATTGTATTACACTACTCATAAAAAATCCATGTATCTGTGGTAAATTTCCCCTTGTGTTTTCTGAAGTTAGCTTTCTTTTCTGTTTTTTCTCTATTTCTTTCTTTCTTTCTTTTATTTTTATTTTTTCACAGACGGGGGTCTTTTTCTGTTGCCCAGGCTGGATTGAAATAGTAGAACCATAGCTCACTGCAGCCTGGAATTCCTGGGCTCAAGGAATCATCCTGGTTCGGCCTCCCAAGTAACTGGGACTATAAGCCTACAGGCATGTGCCACCACACTCAGCTAATTTTTTTTATTTTTTGTAGAGACGGGGTCTCACTATGTTGCCCAGAATAGTCTAGAATTCATGGCCTCAAGCAACTCTCCTGCCTGGCCTGTCAAAGAGCTAGAATTATAGGTGTGACCTAAAGTATCTGGCCTGTTTTTCTCTTGATTCATATTACAAGAAGCTCTCTTCTTTTGTGATAGTCTAAGCATCAGCTATTGAATCTTTTATAAATTTGGTTGGTTTTCTGTTTTCTCATCCAAGATAGTTTATACTATTTTGAGTTTTAGACTAACAAACTTTGACATTATATAGGTAATACATCACTCTGTGGACTAACTCATACCTGATCTGGTAGAAGTTGAAGATGACTTTCCATTTCGAATTCAAAATGTCATGAATTCAAACTTCCATATTATGTTTATCAGCATACACAACAAACTAGCATGTTCCCACATTTATAAAATGCTAATAAGAAATGTAAAAAAAAAATCTAAGAAGACTGGTAAGATAGAAAATGATAAAACTATAGACAAAGTGATGCTTTTTGTTTCTTTTTAACATCTGGAAGAAATATTGCCAGCTGATATTTTAATTAGAAGTTTTGCAAAGGACTCTTAAAAATTTTAATTTGGAAGCACTTAATTCCTTACAATTTTAGTCTACTGTTTTTCCTTAAAGTAATTATTAGTAGTTATGTATGTGATCAAATTAATCTTTGTTTTTTATGGTAGGAATTATTATTATTGTCATTTGAGATAAGGAAACTCAGGCTCTTAGAGTTTAAGTTAGCTTACTGAGAATTCAGAGCTACCAAGCAAAAGAGGACTTAAACTCAAGCCTGAAGGACTCCAGGTTTCTTTTCCCTAACATACATCCTGTTGCCTCCTTTATGAAATCCACTCGGGCTATGTTATGGAATGATGGGGGAACATAGGAAAGGGGAAAACTGAACAATGGTAAGAAAGTGGAAAGTGGGTATAGTGGATTCTAGGGAGAAGAGGCCTAGAACCACACAGATTTCCCTAGAAACCAGGATCAATTATTTTGAAAGTTTTAAGAATTTCCTCATTCTCTGAAACTTCCTCACATTTGTTATATTTTCCTTATTTCCTGGAATCTATACAATATCAGTTAAAGATCTAAACATAATAAGAAACTAGCATGTGTGCTACAGAAGCCAGGGAAGGGGAGGAATAATGGCACTTTTTCCCCTGGCAGTGGCTCCATCAGGATAAAGGAGGAGGGGAGCTTGCCGGCAGCATCAGTGGAAAGGGTCCTCGATGTTCTTAAATTGTATTCATTGCCCTCAAATCCAGCCTCACAAACACCCAGAAATAAAGACAGTGATCAGAAATTGCACGCTAATTATTTTATTGGTATATTCAAGTTAGAGTTGTGATCACATTGTTCCAGTGTCAGAGCTTCTTGAAAGACTGTTGTCTTCTTATTCACTCTATAAAACAAACAAACAAACAAGAAAGTTTAGAGAGAAGACACATCATGGCAGGAAGTGTCCAATGCCTTGCTGGTATCACTGCAGTGTGGTAGGTGCACGCCCGCCTTCTCTCTCTCTTTCCCCTCTTCCTCTCCCCTTTCCTTCCTAATTTACTTCATTCACTTTGTTAATTTACCTTGCAGACAATGTGCACTCAATTGCTGCTTACAAGATGAAGAGAAATCATTATTCTCGGGGTGTTTATGTTTTGGTTGCTGGTGAATATGTTCAGTGATACACAGATGGTCATTGCAACACATCCGGTCATAATGAAAAACTGAAACCAGCCTCAAAATTCAGTGACCAGGGATTGATCAAAGAAATCATGAAACAAGTATGCAACTGGACTAGTATCTAATTGTAAAAAAAAAAGCCAAACCAAATGAAACAAACAACAAAAAAAATATCAAAACATGGAAGAGATCTACATATCTCTATTAACTGATATGTACGTTTTCTAAGAAATATGCTTTGAAGTGAGCAACATACAGATATGGATGTAAAGTATATCATTTGTGGAAAAAAGAGTTATATATGTTTATGTTTATACATATTTCCAAGAGGATGTCCCAAAACAAAGGGTTAATGGGGTTGGCTTTTAGGAGAAGGCAGGGAGCTAGGATGAGATATGCCTTTAATATTTAGCTTCATGCCTTTCCATTGATCATGTATTAATTGAAAAGTAAGTATATGAAAAGCTAGATAACATTTAGCAGCATCAACTTAAAGACTAATTTAGCCAAAATACTGCACCTGAGAGGCTTGGTGTGTGGCAGGACTGAGCAAAGAGTGCTCAGGTGGAAACCTGAGAGGGCAAGTCATTGACTCTGAGCACAGCAGGCAGAGGACCACAAGGAGAATATGTCTCTACTTCCTCACTACCAAGCCAATTTTAGACACATAATCATCGAATGAAAAGAAGTTTTGGGGCAGTATTTCTCAAAATCAGAATTATCTTGGCAAGCTTGTTATGAATACAGGGTCTTGCTACCCTATCCCAGAATATCCAACAGAAATCTTCAGAAATGGGGTGTAGGACTATAGAATTTCAATATGTTTACAGTTGATTCACTGACACAATAAAGTTTAAGAAATGTAGCAGTTAGGGCCTTTGGTGAAAAATGAACTAGAAGCATACCTGTCACTCAATTGGAGATTACTGTGATGGCTGGTCTTGGGCAGGTTTTTCTGAAGGAGGTGGTTCTGGTCCTTGGGGTTCTCCAGAGGGAGGGGGTGGTGGTGGTCCTTGGGGTGCTCCAGGAGGAGGGCGAGGAGGATGGTGATGGCCTCCATGTGCAGGTGGTCCCTGATGGTTTCCATGATGAGGTGGGTGAGAGTGGTGATGGCCTCCATGTGCAGGTGGTCCCTGATGGTTTCCATGATGAGGTGGGGGTGGATGGGGGTGGTGGCCTCCTGGTCTGGGTGGTTTCTGGGGAGGCCCACCAGAGGGAGGGGGTCCAGATGGGTGTCCTTCAGGAGGTGGTCCCTCAGGTTTGTCTGGCTTCTCGCTTGGTTTCCTTACATCTGTAAAAGTAAGAAGAATAGCTGCACAAGAATAGCTGAGCTCAGTGATGAAAGACTGTCCTTTCTTTTCTCTTCTGTGACCCTATCACACAGCCCCTTTTCCCCACAACCTGCCTCTCAACGGCCACCTTCCCTCCTGTCCACTGCTTCCTTATGCAGATCTCCTCTTCATTTGTACTCCTGATGTTGATTGCCTCTCTCTTCTTTTATTTTTTCTTGTGGGACCAGCATGAGTTCTTCAAATTGGCACAAAAGTGGGTCTTGAACCACTTAGAATGCCCAGAGGATGTTGCCAAGGTCAGTAGAGAAGCAGAGCAATCATGAATATGAGTTGCCCGTTATGTTTCAGGCTGCTGTAATTACTTGCAAACTGTGACTCCAACTCGGGGCACCTGAACCCAACATGGAAAACTAGAGCTGGTTCCCCTGGTTCCAAGATGCAAGTAAAGAAACAGAGAAGAGAAAGACAAGGTGGTGGCCCACACCGAAGCACTCAATAGCTGTGGCACATTTTCATCAGGAACAGGGACACAGGTCAGTGTGTCAATGCAGAGAAAAGGGAACCAGACACTGATTTATTTGCATTTCTCCCTGAAGCTACAGAACCTTGAGAGGAACGCAGGGGAAGAAAGAAGCAGCTGAGGCTCTCGGGAGGATGGAAGAGTCAGAGTGAGGACACTTTGCCTTCCTCCGCCCTCTCTCAGCAGTCAGCCCTAGGCTGCGGTATTAGGCAACACCTGTTGTGATCTCAGCCAGGGCATCTGTCACTCAAGGCGGTGGCCCTGCTCATGGTCACCAGAGCCATGTTTGGGTGAGATTTGCCTGAGTCTGTAGGAGCATTAACAGTAATCAATTCCTGATGAGGGATTGATGGTGAGACAAACCTGGAGAGCTGGAGTATCCGAAAGGAGCCTAGGAATAGAGAGTCGATTGAGGATTATTGGAATTTACCTGATGATAGGAGAGGAGACGCTTCTGACTGGACATCTAGGAAAACAAGTACAGGATGCGATTAAAGTCACATTACAAGTCTCTCAGGGCTCTCAAGTGTTATATAATGATAAGGAACTCCTGTCCATACTCAGTGTATCCCGTAAGTTAACTCCACTCCTCTGCGTGTGGTGCTACTGGAAAGGGAGGAAGTCATTAGTAGGTGACAGGGTTGTCACTGTACAGAGTGTCAACCACCAACTCAAAATAGAAAGCCCTTTTTGTCCTCCCAGTTATCCCTCAAAGCTAATGCTAGGGTGAGTGCTCTGGGTATTTCAATGTGATATTTTAGTATTCTTCTGCCCTCTTTCTTCTCTAATTACTTTCCTTTATTAACACACTTCCTCAAGGAGGTAATCAGGGAGTAGATATTTGGATATGATATTACACAGACTCCTCACATCAGATTGAAATTTTAAATGTGAGTGGGAGAACACTGACAATATTAGGCCCTGATATTTGTGTATCTCTATGGAGAGAGAGACAAATTTGTTATCTGACTGTCCATCTCTGAACTAGCTTGGATATTTGTTCATCTTCTTCATTGATCCTGCAGACAATGTACAGGAAAGCCACAGTACCCACTGTCGACTTTGATCATTATACTAACTTCACAATGGGACTTCCCTGGACCAGTCTTTTCATCCTCCACTCCATCCTTCACAGAGTCACAGAGATCTTTCTAGAAATGCAAATCTCAGTTTGTCATTCCTTTGGTCAATGTTCTCCATTGGACTCTAATGTACTTTAAATAAATTATAAATCCTTGGCGTGATTGACGACATAATAGCTCTTATCTTTGGCATGACAACACGGTAGCTCCTTCCTATCCCCCTGCCCCCTTGCCTTCCTCCCCCTCTGCAGTGTGGTCTCCTAAGCCGTAAGCCAAGTCACAGTGCCTCCCCTACTACCTACGTCCCACTTTTTCTCTCTCTTTTTTGCCATTATCTGTGCTCTTAGCTGAGGTCAGGGCCAGCAAGGCCATTGAGATCTCCTAAGCCCCAAGCACAGAGACAGGACCTTCTCCCCCGTTGCTTACCTTCATTCAGGTTCTGAGCTGCGGTGAGGGCCAGCAAGGCCGCTGAGAGCAGGACCAGCAGCATCCTGGAGGAGGCTCAGGGTTTGCTCCCAACTCTGTGCTGGGAGAAACGGGGCAGCTCCCTTTATGAAGACGACCAGAACAATGGCACCTTTGAGCTCCCTGCTGGGTGGACCTCACCATCGAATGAGTTTACTTTTTTCACATCAAGTCAACTGCATCCTTTATTTCTCACTGGGACTTTTTCCAAGCAGGATGGGGTGGGTAGGATGTTTGATTTCTAAAATGTACAACTTGTGACTTGGGCAAAGTTTTTGAAGGAACAGAACCGCAGCAATCTGCAGAGATATTAGTATTGAAGTGGTCATTGTTTGATTTCCAGTGTGTTTGGTGGGACTATTACTCAGTACTGCCATGGTGTGGTGCTCTGTGTGTGTGTGTGTTTATGTGTATGTGTGTGTCAGCAGGGATCCTATAGGCAGAAGTGAACATGGTCAATATCTCTGGCTATCATTATAGCCCAAATTCCATCACTCATGGTGTGTATGTACCTATGTGTATGATATTCAGCTAAAGTTTTGAGGATATAGGGATCATTTCTGTTTATCTGTGAGATGCGTGAGGACAACATGTATTTGTGTATTCAAGGGGGACAGAAGTTTGACCCTCACCCCATGAGTTAGACTGTTTTGCCTTGCTATAAAGGAATATATGAGGCAGGGTAATTTATTAAGAAAAGAGGTTTATTTGGCTAAGGGTTCAACAGAATGTTATAAGGAGCATGACATCAGCATCTGCATCTAGTGACGGCTTCATGAGCTGCCAATCCAGGCAGAAGGCAAAGGGGGACCAGGCATGTCACACAGCAAGAGCCGGAGCAAGAGAATGAGGAGGTGATTCCAGGCCCCTTTCAACAGTAACTTTTTGTGTGAACCTGTAAGATGAGAACTCCCTCATTATCCCTGGGAGGGCACTGAGACATTCATGAGGGATTCAACGCCATGAAACAAACACCTCCCACCAGGCCCCACATTAGACACGGGGATCAAATTTCAACATAAGATTTGGAGGGGACAAATATCCAGACTATATCACCCTGCTCAGGCCCTCAAGAATTGTCCAAGACCCTCTAAGTCTGAGTCTAACCAGTGAAGATTTGGTGTTGTAGGACACAGGCAGCCTAAAATATTCTAGGTTTCTTAATATCTTCAGGACTTATTAAAGCAAAAGTGACCATGCAAAGCACCATGGGATTTCCACACAGCAACAGAATGAGGACACAGTTTCTTGAATGAACCATGCTCTTTCATGTCTTTCAAACTTCTTCCATGCACTTCCTCTTTGCTAGAATGTTCTATAAGATTTACTTAAGGAATCTTATTCCTTCTAGGAAATGTTTTTAATCACCGCCATTGATTATTATATTTTCCAGTTAGGTAGTCTGATTCTCTGTTCAAAGTCTCAAATGCATTGTGGTGACTTTCTCTTTTCCAGTCAGTGTCTATGTTATCTGTTTTTTCAAATTGTTCTTCAATGGGGATTTTCTCTAGAATATACTGATACTCATTCCTCCCAATCTCTTTCTGAAGCCCATATGTTGATGGTTTGTCTTCTGAATCAATTAATCTTGTGTTTATTTTTCCTCTTATATCTAGCTTTTATTTGGTTTGGTTACACATTTTGGAAGAATTTCATTACTTAATAGGTTAATTCAGAGCCCATTATATTCTTCACTAGTTTTATTTTCATTTTTTAACCTTGACAACAATGTATTATACTTCCAAAAGTATATTTTTAGGATAGCTGAACTGGTAACTCTCTTTTCAGCTGTCATTCCTTCTGTTATATCTAGTAGTTGACGGCTCATCGATTCATGAACAGTCTAGATGAGTCAGTATCACCAGCTGCTACTTACCATTTCAGACATTCTTATGAGTTGTGTAATTATTCATTTTGTGCAGTATTGGTGTTAATTTGAGGATAGCTTGGTTAGAGATATGGCAGGAAAGTTCATGTGATGGGAAAACCTAAAGTCAGGTCCCTTGACCAGTATGCATCAGTGGAACCTACACTGTGCACATGAGGGTCTCCTTTGGCTCTTCCCAAGTGTTGCAGGTAACATGACAGCAAGGCTTGCTAATACACTGGGGTTTACTCCAGTCAACTTTGCCCTTGTACCAGGTAGATTGGTTTTTTTTTTTGGCTCCTGGCATAATAATGGATGTCTCCTGAAGGGGGTATAAATTATCAGTTCTCAAGTCTTCTCTGGTTATGTGAAAAGGAGAACAGTTCTAGGTGGGCTTTATGTGCTTTATGGGAGGCAGGGAGTAGCTGCTTGGTCCTAGCAGGTCCCACCGTGTAATTGGGATGACTGTCTCTACCTTCGCGGGACACTATTTTAAATGAGAAATGAACGTGCGTGGTCCTGCGCAGGTGGCTTATGGTTGATGTTTAGCTGGCAAAGGAGGGTCAGAGAGGAGGAGCAGGGAGCAGTGCCAGGCAGAATTGCCTCATTGTGTGGCTGGCTGCTGAGGCGTCAGTCCTGGTGGAAGGCAGCTTACCTTGGCTTGTGGAGTGCACTAAGAGAAGAGGTGGTACTTCAAATATCACTCAGTGCAGGCCATTTCCCTGAACTTCTCCAATGTCAGCAATAAGTGAGAGAGATTAGTGAATCAGGAAAGAATAAATATCAGGTGTGAACTGACCAGAAAAAGCCAAAACAGAAGTCTCGGAACATTGAAAGAGACACTGTGAGTGAGGCAGGTGGGGTGAGAGTGAGTTGCAGGATTGTAGCAGGCGCTGAGGCTCCTTTGGGTGAGTCGGAGCCCTCAAGCCATCCCCTGCCTTCCAATAAGGATGTTCAACTTCACATGTCCCAGAAAGGATTCTAGATTTCCACATCCTAAAACCTGCTGTCTCAGATATTAGTTTGCTATGGGTGACCTTACAAAATGCCACAGACTGGGTTGCTGAAACAGTAGAAGTTTATTTTTTACATTTCCAGTGCCTTGAAGTCCAAGATCAAGTTTTCAGCAGGATCAGTGTCTCCTGAGGCCTCTGTCTTTGTCTTGGAGATGGGCGATATCTTGCTGTGTCTTCACGTGGTCTTTCTCTTGTGCACATGCCTCCTGGTGTCTTTCTGTCCAAATGTTCTCTCTGCATAGAGACACCCATCAGTTTGAATTAGGGCCCAACCTAACAGCCTCATTTTAACTTCAACAACTCATTAATGGCCCTGTCTCCAAATACTCGAGGTCATTTAAGGCTTCAGCGAATGATTTGTGGGGACACAATTCATCACATAGCACCTGCCAAACTTTTCTTTCTTAATGACTATTGTTTCACCCAGTTGTTTAAAAATATAGCAGTCACTTTTACTTTTAACTGCCCTAAAGGCATTGCCTTTAGCAAATCCAGTCGGCTCCACTTTCAAAACCTTCATAAGTATGACCACTACATGATCTTTACTACAAGGCCTTGGTTCAGGCCATAATTCTCTCCCCAGAGGACCTTCACATCCTCTGACTGTTTTTGGTAGTATTCTTGCCCCGTCACATCCCATATCAATTCTCATCACAACAGCCATAATGATCTTTTAAAAAGAGAAATCAGATCCTATCACTATTTTGCTTTAAATCCTTAGAGGTGTTTCCCACTGCACTTGTAATACCTTATAAATTTCATACCTTTGCTCTTTTCACCACCACATGTCTCCCTCTTTCTCAAAGACTGAGGAGCTCTCTGAGTGTGATGGAAAGCAGAATATTTTTTAACCTTAGCAAGCACTAGTTTTCCTGGAACACTCACTTGGGGTTTATCAGGAAAGATGAACTTTGTCAATGGAAAAAAAGAAAAATTCTGTAAAATAATTTGAGGAGGTTTTTTCTGAGCCAAATGTGAAGGCCATGACCCAGAGCCATGCCCAAGAAGCCTTGAGCAAGTGGACTCTTGTGGTTGGATTACAGTTTGGTTTTATACATTTCAGGGAGACAGGAATATCAAGTAAAGACATAAATCAGTACTTGGAAGGCATACATTGGTTTGGCCTAAAAGGCAGGACATCTTGAAGTTGGGGGCTTACAAGTCATACGTGGATTTAGGGATTCTTTAGTTGACAATTGGCTGAAAGAGTAAGACTTTTTCTAAAAGCCAGGAGTCTGTCTAAAGGACTGCTTGAGTTGAGATAAGGTTCTTCTATCTTGTATGTGATCCTATACCAGAATCAGGTTGGGAAGTAAACCACATTATAATGGGTTATGAAAACCTGTTTAGTGAGATTTAGTTATTTGTAGGAGTTTCTCTCCAGGCCCTCTTAGAAAGGAATTTTGGGAAAAGAAAAAGTTCAGAGTTTGTTCCTGAAAGACTTGAGCAAGTGGACTTGCTGTAGGTGGGTTACAGTTTAGTTTTATACATTTCAGGCATACTGGAATTACAGGTAAAGTCATAAATCAGTACATGGAAGGCATACATTGGTTTTGCCCAAAAAGATGAGCCATCTCAAAGCTGGGGTGTGTTTGTGGCTTACGGGTTATAGGTGGGGTTTAAGACTCTTTGACTTGTAATTGTTTAAAGAAATGAAGTTTTGTCTAAAGGCTTGGAATGTTTTAAGTCTGTGTTTGTAAATTTCTTCTCCCTTGGCCTGGGCATCTTAGAAAAGATGTGATACAATTTTTGATGCTGTTTTTAATCCATGAGAAGAGTTCCAAACTTAACACTTTCCAAATGGTGGTATCAGCTATAAAATCTAATAATGAGGTTAAAGACAAGCTCTTTCCTCTCTGAGGATTATCGTTCAAGCCCAATTGACTGGATTATTAGTAACCTAACAGACAATGGATAAACAAAGCATCTTACCTTGAGTTTTCCCAGATTCTTTTCTTCTGTCTCTCTAGGATATGGTTCCAGTCTAGCTCATGGAATCTTCTCTAAGAGATTGCATGAGAAAGGGAGAGGATCAGGTTTTCTGATGCATAGAACATAATATAATCCTGTCAAAAACCTTAATGCCTAAGAGCTCTGAAGCAAGATTTACCGATTTTAATACTTCACCTTACTCTTGATATTTTTGGAAGTCATTACAGTGGTTTCTTCATGCAGTA